GAAAAAAAAAGAAAATGATAAATACTTAAAAAAATAAAATCCTTCAAGATGTAGTTATATTACTACATCTACTAGTTAGGAAAATAAAAAACTTAAATTTGAACATGTTTTGTAAAAAAGTGTTATGAAAAAGTAACACGGCTATAAATTTTGCATACGATGTCAGAATAAACGTATAATATATCAAAATGTTCAGCACAAAAATCCGCATTCGATTTTGACCGCCATAGGCCGTTTTGTAAATTTTTAGAATCCTCAAATTCTAAAAGGCAAAAAAGTTATGCTCAAATTTCTGTTTTTTTGAATTTTGGTTAAATTTGGTCAAACTATGGTCAAACTATTTGTTCAAGAAGTATTAGTGTTACTAAATAATTAGTCAAGAATATTAGTGTTACTAAATAATTATTTCAGTTTTTTTGAATTTTGGTCAAATCTGGTCAAATTGTGGTCAAACAATGGTCAAACTACTTATTCAACAAATATTAGTGTTACTAAATAATTATTGTTTTTTAGAATAATAGTTTCAAACTCAAATAGTGAAACGTGTGACTTTATGCTCAAGCTAAGCGTGAGATTAAAGATTAAATTGAGCAGTGATGAGGGGTGATTAGAGATTAAATTCTAAAATAATTCAAAAATTTGAAAATCAGAAAAAAAATATATAAACAATCAAAAAATCGTAAAAAAAATTTTAGTCCCAGTTGCCAACTGGGACTAAAGGTGGAGCTCTAGACAGCAGCCACGTGGAGGGCCTTTAGTCCCGATTCTGGAATCGAGACTAAAGGGTCGGGACAAATGAGTCTTTTTCTACTAGTGCTGGCTGAATGCACCGGCGGAGCAGAATGTCTCATTGTAGACACCACCAAATCGTGGGGCGAACTCACCCCGCTATGCATTAGCCGCGAAATCCGTCGACTCCTCCTCCCACGGCAGTGGAGGGTCTGGCGTAGCAGGACCAGTGCATCCAATGAAGTTGGCGCCGACTGCGTGGGAGCCAGGCCCCTCTTTTTGAGTGAAGGAGGAGGAGGACATCATCCTCATCGGCTCCCTAGTCCAAGTGAATGATACGTCCCCATCGCGCAAAAGCGAAGTTGGAGGAAGAGCCAGGAGTATATAGCAAAAAACTACCGCATTACAGGCTAAGTCAACAAAAAAAACTAGCATTTTTTTTTATGTTTCAAGATGCTACCACAAAATTGATGGGCTGTTCCAAAAAACCCAAATCACCACGTTGTTTAGAATTGATCTAGATTATTATGACAGGCCGGACCCGCTTCTAACTAAACCGTCTGTTTTGACTTTTTATTTGACCGTCAACTGTTTCTTCTTCTTCTATATTCTCTCCCGAGAGCACCACGAAGGGCCGGCCACAAGGCCGAGGCTCCTGCAGCGGCAAGCAGTCGGCGGGGAGCAGCAGCAGCCTCGAGCTGCCGCAGCGGCGGGGAGCAGCAGCAGCAGTACGCAGCAGCGCCGGCGACCAGCAGCAGTGGAGGGGAGCAGCGCCGGAGAGGAGTAGCAGCACGCAGCAGCGGCAGCTTCAAGCCATGGCGATGGCTGACGGGTGCGATGCCCAGGAGCACAGGGCCCTGATTGCTTTTTTCGCAAAACTAGTAGGGACCTGATTGCTTTTTTTACAAAACGTACAGGGGCCAGATTGCTTTAAAAAAAACTTATAGTACTGGTTTGCTTTCTATTTTTTGTAGGACCGACATGTGGGCTCCACATGTCATGACGGTCAACCAACGATCCAATATAACGGTGACCTGACGAGTGAACCCCCTTTATCATAAACGCGGTTAAAACTTAACATGTAATTTGTTGTCTAATTATAACGGTGATCCAATATAACGGTGACCTGACGAGTGCACACCACACCATCCACTGAAAGTTTAATACAGTTAGAACTCTGCTGATGAGGTACTATGATGAGTTTCAGTCACTGTTGTACCTGTGGCTGTTATGTGTGGTCGTCTGATCGTAATCAGCTATGCAACATCGATATCGATAGGTGTGTATTCATATGGAGGCAATACAGATACATGAGACATCATTTTTAGTATAAGCTAGTATGATGGACATGACTTTGTGTTCTTCTTAAGGAATAATAAGTTATAGATAAAAGTGTAGAAGCGCAAAATGCGAGTGCGGCATTTCTGCTCTCGAGCCCATCTACACCCCCTAACAAAAAAAATCAAAATAAATACTAAAAAAATTAAAAAAATTCTAATTTTTTTTGTGTGGTAGATAAGTTTATGCATGAGATGCGTTTCAAGTTTCAACTCATTTAGACATCTGAGCAACTCTCAGTAAAAAAAAAATTCAGGGTCTGTAAAAAAGTTTACAGTTCACGCACTGTTCTGATCCGATTTGATTTTTTGCTGAGAGCTGCTCAAATGTCCAAATAAGTTGAAATTTGAAGTGAACCTCACGCATACAATTATCTATCACACAAAAAAATAGATTTTTTAAGTATTTTTTTTGATTTTTTTCTGACTGGGTGCACATGAGTCTGGGCACCGAATTGGGTTTTCGAGCGCAAAATGTCCTTTTGTGATAATGTTGGAAAACTCTCCTTTAGTATCAAAAAATCTTTCTAAGCTCGGGCTCATCTGCACCCACCCGTGTTGAATAAAAAATTAAAACAAATACTAAAAAATTCAAACAATTCCAATTTTTTCTCCATGGTAGACAATTTTATGCGTGAGGTCCATCCCAATTTGCAAATCATTTGGACAATTGAGCAACTCTTGGCAAAAAAAGCAAATTCGGGATCTGTAAAATAGTTTACTGTTCATGTATTGTTTTGACCTGATTTGTCTTTTTTGTTGGGAGCTACTCAGATGTCCAAGTGAGCTAAAATTTCGAGTGACCCTCACGCAATAAGTTGTCTACCATAGGAAAAAAATTGGATTTTTTGAATTATTCTTGTATTTTTTGTGAATTTTTTCTGGACGGATACAGATGAGCCTGGGCACCGAATCGCTGCACACCTTTAGTATGAACTTTAGCAAGCTATAGATATAGATACTATGACCACGGAAAATACACTTCGAACATGGTGGTAATTACACCTGGTTACGTATTTTATTTTTATAAAATTTAGAAAATGTCAAAATGTTCCAAAACTTTTTCCCAACAAACTTGAGATGTCGTTTCTGGCATACAAAAATATTCTACAACAAAATATTCTCTAGCAAAATACTGACAAAAATGACAAATATTATCTGATAATAGCATGAACAGTATGGCGTATATACCAACAAATTTGTTTTTCTACGTCCAGCTCAACATCAAAGCCATTTCTTCGCGAAAGTTTTTATACAAGTGCAACAACAAATCTGCTTTGTTCACAAAGTGTTTCAGATTTTTTTTTCACTTTCTTACAAATTACTATTTTCGGGTGTAATTACACCCGAGAGCCATACGTCCCGTCCACTAACAATGTCTCATGTCCTTGACGTTCTATCTATATATAGAAGGAACCCTGAGGCATTGGACAAAAACAAGTAGTACAATGGCAACACAAGAAGATAACACACTGGGAATGGGAGGGGAGTGCGTGATAGGTGAGGAGAAGCATAACTCTAGCTGGATGGTGGATGTGGAGAAGATGCTGGAAGATGACAATAATCCAGACTCGAGGAGGATGGACGAAGAGCGATGGAGGGTGCAATCCATCTACCGGGTACCAGAGTGGCTCAAGGGCACCAACCCCAAGGCCTACCAGCCGCGGCTGGTGTCTTTGGGTCCCTTGCACCACTGCGACTCCAACCTGCTACCCATGGAGGGGCACAAGCGCCGCGCGTTGGTGCACCTGATTAAGCGGAGCAACAAGCAGCTTGAGGATTTCATCTCTGCCATCCATGACGTGGTGGAGGACCTTGAGGCAGCATACGGCAAGGACCTCCCTGTCAAATTGCGGAACAATAGACAGACCTTCGTCGAGGTGATGCTCACTGACGGCTGCTTCCTGCTAGACATGATGAGCGGCCCTTACTTGGATTACGAGATGCATGCATGATCACGTCTTCAGCATGCATGGCCCCATCATCCTGTCTGACATGCTGCCTCTACTTGTTCTCAAGAAGATCTTGGGTGTCCTGCATCCTGACTATCCGGTACTTCATTTCAACACAGTTCATTAGTTTCTAAACTTATATACTCTCTCTGTCTCTCAACGCCGTCTTCACACAGTTGCATTTCCTCCCATACGAATATCACTATATATCTAGCAATGCCAATGTACCTTGAACTGATGAAGAAATGAAATCTATGTTTGCAGGCAAATAATTTACATGAGGTTTTTTACTACTCCCTCTGTTCACTTATATAAGACGTTTTAGTAAATTCAGACAGTGTACTAAACAGTTCAAACTCAGCTGTCTGAAACGCCTTATAAAAACGAACGGAGGGAGTACTTAAGTTTCCAATCTAGAGTCTAAAAAATGGAAGTTAGACCATCCACATCCAGTGGTGATTTTTTTCTTTTGCAAGCAAATACTTACCGGATCCATCGGCTCGGTCATGTGGTTACTTCAGTCTGCTATCCTAAGGAGCGGGGGAACTGCATAAGGACATGATGATGTCTGTGAAAACAAAATTTATACTATGCTTTGATTTCTTTCTCGTTTACATATAACTGTGCCAAAATATTTTAACATTGCAAAATCGTACTAAAGAAGGAATTCACAACATCATGGCGAGTACCTTAACTTATGCATGATTTTTTATCCTTTAATTTTTCATATGACTATAGTGAATTGGTTTTTCCTGACATGGCCCGCGTGCTAATCTGAGTCGTAGGATCTTCCCAAACTACTGCAGTAAAAACTAATTGTGTGTGTACAAGCGTTGTTAGGGCATTAACAGTAGCTGGTTTGACTGCAGGAGGATGAAATGGATTTATATATAAACCTCATGGTGCTGGAATATCTAGAACGGGCGCCTGAAGGACGTAACTTCGCAAAGATATCGCTGGGTCGCCACCCTCTTGAACTTTATCATGGAAGCCTCACCTACAATAACGGCGCCCATAGAGTTCACCCACCAGCGTACAAGTATGAAATGATACCCTCAGCGTTAGAAATCCACGAGGCTGGCATCAAATTCAAGAAGCGGGAGAGGGGCAACCTGCAGGACATTCGCTTCGAGCACGGCGTGCTGAGTATGCCAGTGATTGAAGTGGTTGACAACACCGAGAGCTTGTACCTCAACCTGATGGCGTTCGAGCGGCTGCATTTCGGTGTCGGCTATCTCGTAACGGCCTATGTAATCTTCATAGACAACATCATCGTCTCGGCCAAGGACGTGGCGATGCTGAGCTCCAATGAGGTCCTCAAGAATATGCTAGGCTGCGACAAGGAGGCGGCAAAGCTGTTCAACGGTACTCTATCAAGAGGGCAACTTCTGGGCCCATGCCCTGGTCTCCATAATGTGCAGTACGAGGTGAATGCCTACTGCAAGGAGTCCTGGCACAAGTGGCGGGCCACCCTAATACGTACCTACTTCCGAAATCCCTGGGCATTCATCTCCCTCGTAGCCGCTACCATTCTACTGATTGCCACCCTGTTGCAGACCACCTACACCGTCATGCCCAACAAGCTTTGAGAGTGCGATCTTAATTATAATATCACAGCGGAAAAATAGTTCATCCCTGTAGACTTTAGTGATCTCTAATGTCTATGTATGTGTTGAACAATATTTTCAGTTTGTTGCTGGTTTTGTTTAAGAGCGGTATGGATCATTCGTTATAACAATGGCTGTGTTGTGCGGGAGTTTACTCCTCTATTGTCTACATAAAGTGCATATGTATATTTGATCCTGTTGAGTTTAATTAGTTCCTGTCTTATTAGTCATACTCCTAACCTTTTGATGAGCTTACTAGAGATTACCCTATCTCATAGACTGTGACCAGAAGTCGGGCTTACATAGATGTGTTCCTTCAAAGAATGCTCACTAGGATATCATTTTACTTACACAAGCTTTGAAACACATTAAGACAAAAATTAGTCTGCCTTACATATTATAAGAGTATTACATCTCACAAGGACGAAAGTAGTTCATAAAGGAGACGGGCGGACAAAATATTTAAAAATCAGGATGAAGCTAGGCTCAAGATTATTCAGTTTCCATATGGCACATCAGCTAGCTTTCCATACGGCACATGAGCTAGTGACTGAATTGTCCAAATCACGCAGGCTATGGGAGGTATTGCGGATAATTCAGTCACTACCTCTACAAAAGCCTAATTGGTTTCGGAATGAGTTGAAACAATATGATTCTCACTCAGTGCCATATTGAAAGAACCAACTCCAAGAGACTGGAAATGAACAATTACTTAACATTATATGGCATGCAGAGCAGGACGCAGGCAATCATCCCCTGGGCCAGAAGATGGAATCTGCATTCCCTTCCTTGCATGCATTCAGGTGAATTCCTAAATCCTAATTTGTTAGTTGATCATCTCCCCACTCAGCTCTTCTCTTCTTCTATAAATATCAACACAGCCAGATATCAAAACAGCATCTACAAACGACTGCATAAATCCAGTCCGCCCAAACACTCGACCGTACACGACTCAATCTGTCCCTCATTGCTATTATGTTCACATATTCTCCCTGCAGGTTACAACGTGCAGATATAATCACAAATAGTATCCTAGTCTCCATGCAGCTACAATATTAATTGTTTCCTCGATCACAAAAGCTTACTACTGCCACCAGTATAAGATACACGACACTCGTCTTTATCTGATATATGACAAAACAAATTGTAGCCTTTGTTTGGACCTTCCATTGCCATGAAGGACCTGTGTTGCATCCGCATAAAATTTGGTGTTACCAAGCTGAGGAGCAGGGTGAAGACCTATCAACAGGGCTGGGCTCACTAGTCTTTCTCGCACCTGCACACATTAAAATTTAAACTGGATGAGATACTGTATATGACTACGTAAGCATGCTTTTGTGTTTTTTTATCGCCTGTGCATAGCTTTATCGGTGTGCTTTTTGTGTGTGTGCGTTAATGTTGGCTGTGTGCATCTTAGTTATGCAGAGGCTGGGTGTATGCTCATTATGTTTGTATTCTCTCGATGCTCCATTTTGAGCCAATAAAATCCACCCTTTGTCGAAAAATGTAAGCATGCATCCAGTTGAGTTGGTTTAAGCTTTGTATCAAGTTTTTTCACTACCATCAATCAGGCATATATCACAGCCAGCAATACCAACACATTCTTAAATATGTTTATCAATCAGCCTTGTTTCTTTCAAAATAATCTAACACATTCACGAAGAGATTAAATGATTTCTGAGTAGTATTCTCAAAAGTAAGAATGAGTTAACCATTCAATATTTGATTTTCCACTATTAGTCATTTCATATTTGGTTTGTCATCGCTCAAGGACGGAGATAGCCACACTGAATGATAACACACACAAAAAACAATGTACTGATGATGACATTCCTAAAAAAAAAAGTGGTGATGACTTATGTTTGTCTATCTAGCTATATTAAATGAGAACATATACTAAACAGTATGACTATGATCGTCAATCTAGCATATGTATTCGAGCATTCACGGATGAAATATGAAAAAATTAGGTAACACCTACAGTATATTACCTAGCACATAGAAACTCTTGAAAGAATGACAGGCACTAATACGACGGTCTTCACAAAGTTTCCTTGATTGCAGTGAATTTAGTTGAACCATATAGACACCGTCCTTCGCATATAAAAATATTCAATCAGTATCCTCAATATATCCTAGTATAAATTTCAACCATACTAACCCTCCTTCAATCCGAGGAGGCAATGCAAGAATGTTATCTGTTTCAATGGTCTTCCACAGCACCTAGGTGGCAACACCAAGACAATTGGTCTTCCTCTGCCACATTTCAATGTTATGATCAGGGCGAGAGATCATGGCGAGACCAACTGTGCCATCCTCTGTCCGGATGATCTGTCGGCTGTAGGAATGATTCATACCGGGAGGCCCCTCCAGCACATCAAAGCTATGCCTTTCCAAATCAAAGGCAAGTATACCCTCCTTCACATACTTAAATGACCAATAAAGAACATTACCAACTAGGGTACTAATATAAGAGCCAAAACTATCTCGATATTCAACCTCTATTGAGATGAGATCGGCCCATGTGTCGGTCTCGGAAGAATAAACAGAGGCAAGAGGTCGACCATGTGTAGTGCGCGTAAGCAGCAAGACCACCTTAAAGAGGATGGAGTGGCAATCGCCGTGTACGTGGCCCCGGTCACGGGCAGCGCAGACCACCGCCCCGTGGACGTAGCCGCATTTGAACTCGGGTGGAATTGTCACATGGTGCTGATTACCGGTGATGGGGTCACACACGAGGACCTCGGTGCGCAACCGGTGTAAGATGAGGACAAGGCCGTGCCGGCACCCGAGCAGCCGGCCCGACAAGTCGCCGAGTGGCAGGTTGAGCTGCCCGTGAGGGATGCGGTCTGGAGCGGGCAGGACGGGGGTGTACTTGATCTTATCATCGTGATTGAAGAAGACGCCGAGGAGGGGCGGGCGGTGGTGTGCATAGAAGCAGCGAAGGAATCTAGAGTCGGTGACGAGGCCTCGCCAGCGTTTGCAGACAGCGAAGACGCGCGGGAGGGAGGACGGCTGGGGCGGAAGACGGAGGAGGATCTCCCAGAGCATGTCGTCGTCTTCCAGCGCCGCCGGCAGGGAATTGCTGTGGCGGCAGATCATGGCGGCGCCCTCCTCACCGGCGCCGATCCGGTCTTGTGAGATGGAGGGATCGATCTGGGGGAAGGAAGGAGCACGCACGTGTACTGGGTAAGATTTCTGTGCGTGCAATCTCTGGACTCCACAAATCAATGTTTTTCTTCATCACAAATCAATACTATAATGTTATCCCTAAAAAAATTCAATATAATGTTGTTTCCCTGATGGAAGAAAATCCTATTGGACCTGGGTCTTTTCCTTCATCAAGTGGCATTGCTAATCTCAAAGCACCGTGCCGCATTAATCTTTCAGCGTAATTAGGCAGCAAATCGCCATTTCCAGTCACTGGTTAGCCATTCCCGGTTCCCAGTTTCCGACGGCTTATGATTCTTGATTGATATATTTTCATTATTATACTACGGGGCGGACGAATACTCGTGTGCGCAAGAAGTATTTTTTTTGAAAAGGGGGACTTCCCGGTCTCTGCATCAGAACGATGCATACGGTCATCTTATTAAAGCAAATAAATAGGTTCCAACAAGGTCTCAAACTCTCCAAATGAAAAGTAAAAAGTAGCTCACACAGAGCCAAAAAGGACTAGAAACACAACCTAGCCAAATAAAGGACGCCACAACCGGCTGGCAAAAAAAGAGATAGGTAAACTAATTGTCTATCCTATTACATGACCGTCATTCAAACCGGTTGAAGATATTCCGAGCTACCATCTCCCAGCGGATAGATCCAGTAACCAAAACGCTCCCTGGCCTCCGTCGGAGTGAGTAGCAACCACGGACGGATCAAAGCCGTGGCTCTGAAAATAACCTGCAAAAAATGAATGCGTGTTGTCCTGTTAAAAACCAAATCATTTCTACAATTCCAGAGCGCCCACAACAAGGCGCAGACTCCTACACGAATATGTCTCACTAACTCGGGCTCTATCCCGTTAAGCCACGTTCCAAATAACGTGTTGACAGAACTCGGTGGAGTAATATTAAAAGCAATATGGACCGTCCTCCATAAAACTTTGGCTAGCGGGCAATCAAGAAAAAGGTGCTTCATCGTCTCATCTCGATCACAGAAACTACACCTAGTAGGTCCTGTCCAATTACGCTTTGTCAAGTTGTCCTTGGTTAAAATAACTTGTTTATGAACAAACCACATAAACACTTTGATTTTCAAATGGACTTTGACAGCCCAAACATGTTTGGAACTAGGAATCGAGCTTGAATTGATAACATCAACATACATTGATTTAACTGTAAATACTCCAGACCTAGTAAGCTTCCAGCGTAATTCATTGGGTTGTTGGGAAAGCTGAACCTCCATCAGTCTACTTACTAGATGTAGCCATTCTTCCCAACGATTACCCACTAACGCCCTTCTGAACTGAATATTAAGGGGGATAGATTGAAGTACCGTTACAACAAAAACCGCACGTCGTTGAACAATACGATACAAAGACGGGTATTGGATGGCTAAGGGTGCCTCTCCAAGCCAAGTATCCTCCCAGAATCGCGTACTAGCACCGTTACCAACAATAAACTTTGTCCTATTAAACAGGGAAAGTTTGACTTTCATAAGCCCTTTTCAAAAAGGTGAATCAATCGGTCTTACTGTCACCTGAGACAAAGTTTTGGTTTGAAGATACTTGCTACGGAGGATTTGCGCCCAAGTGGCGTCAGTCCCACTTGATAACTTCCACAACCACTTGCTGAGAAGACATCTGTTCTTAACTTCAAGATTCTCAATACCAAGACCCCCTTGGTCTTTCGGTCTGCAGATGATATCCCATTTGGCTAAACGGTATTTTCTTTTTAGCTCATCACCCTGCCAAAAAAATCGCGATCGATAAAAGTCCAGTCTTTTCCTAACTCCAACCGGGACTGCGAAGAATGACAAAAGAAACATAGGCATACTCGTGAGAACCGAATTTATCAGAATTAATCGGCCTCCGTATGACATGAGCTTGCCCTTCCAGCAACTCAGTTTCTTTTCAAATCGGTCCTCGATGCACTTCCATTCTATGTTTGTCAGCTTACGATGGTGGATTGGTATTCCTAAGTAGGTGAAAGGTAAAGCCCCCAAATCGCACCCAAAAAATTGCCTATATGCCTCTTGTTTGTCATTGGCTCTACCAAAGCAGAACAACTCGCTTTTGTGAAAGTTAATCTTTAACCCGGTCAATTGTTCAAATAAGCATAATACCAGGTTCATATTTCTCGCTTTGGCCAAGTCATGCTCCATAAAGATGATTGTATCATCGGCGTACTGGAGGATGGACACACCTCCGTCAACGAGATGGGGTACCAGGCCACCCACTTGACCAGCCTCCTTAGCCCTTCCTATCATAATTGCCAACATATCAACTACAATGTTAAACAGGATAGGGGACATCAGATCCCCTTGTCTCAGGCCCTTATGTGTCTGGAAATAATGACCTATCTTGTCATTCACTTTAATTCCAACACTCCCTTTTTGCGTATATGATTCAACCTAGCGGCGCCAGACTTCATCAAAACCTTTCATACGCAACGCCTGTTGCAGGAATGGCCATTTTACTTTATCGTACGCTTTCTCGAAATCCACCTTAAAGACAACTCCATCCAATTTTTTCGAGTGAATTTCATGGAGCGTTTCATGTAGGACCACCACCCCTTCTAGGATGTTTCTGTCCGGCATGAAAGCAGTTTGGGAATGCTGCACCACATAATGCGCAATCTGTGTGAGCCGATTAGTCCCAACCTTGGTTGAAACTAACATTGAGAAGGCAGATTGGCCTGAACTGCTCGATTCTCACAGCATCCGTTTTCTTAGGAAGCAGTGTTATTGTTCCAAAATTTAAGTGAAATAACTGAAGCTGTCCAGAGAAAAGATCATGGAACATTGGTATTAAATCTCCCTTAATAATATGCCAACACTTTTTGTAAAACTCTGCCGGGAATCCATCAGGCCCGGGAGCCTTATTGTTTTTCATCTGCGCTATAGCATCAAACACCTCCTTCTCCGAGAATGGGGCAACCAAAATATCATTATCATTAGCAGTTAGTTGAGGCACATCCTCAATCCTGGATTCATCGAGGGATACACAACTATCCTCCGGAGGTCCAAATAACTGCTTATAATACTCGGTGATGTAAAGTTTCAGGTTGTCCTGCCCTACAATAGTTCCTTCATCTTGTTCAAGCTGAAAGATTCTCTTCTTTTTGTGCTTGCCATTAGCAATCAAGTGAAAGAATTGAGTGTTTGCGTCCCCCTGGACCACTCTGCGGACCTTAGCCCGCAATGCCCACTTCAGTTCTTCTTCGCGAAGAAGTTCTTTCAACCTCATATCCGCATCTAGCTTAATCTGGAGCTCTGCGGTTTGCAAAATCGTGGATTCGGCTTTTATATCTAGGGACTGAATCAAAGAAAGGAGCCTTTCCTTTTCAATCTTATAAATCCCACTAAGGTGTTTAGCACATCCCCGTAGGAAACTTCTCAAATGCCTAATCTTATTCTACCAATGCTCGACAGAAGTCGTACCTCCTGCATCCTTAGCCCATTCCCTGGCAATCAGATCCAAGAAACCTTCTCGTTCAAACCATGCCAGCTTGAAAGAAAAGGTGTTTTTGTTTCCCACGTGGTTTGGCTCACCTGAGTCCACGAATAAAGGTGTGTGATCCGAGATTCCGCGCGAGAGAGCCTGAACCGTTACGAGAGGGAACTTCTATTCCCACTCGACACTCGCGAGGGCTCGATCCAGCTTCTCATACGTCGGGTTTGGCAAAGCATTAGCCCAGGTAAATTTTCTACCGGAAAGCTCTATCTCTCTCAGATCCAAGCTTTCAATAATGGTATTGAACATAAACGATCATCTGCCGTCAAAATTATCATTATTCTTTTCCTCTCTCCTCCTAATGATGTTGAAGTCACCCCAACTAAAATTGGGAGCTGCTCGGATCCGCAGATTTGAACAAGGTCCGCTAAAAACTCCGGTTTAAGCTCGGGTTGTGCGGCACCATAAACCGCCACCAGAGCCCAGTTAAACCCATCAGCTTTGGACCTGACCCGAAATTTAACCGCGAAGTCACCCATCACTACACTTCAGACTTCCAGTGAATCGCATCTCACTCCAAGAAAGATCCCACCCGATATTCCTTGCGGAGGAAGGCAATGCCAATCAAAATCGACACCACCCGATAAAGTGTTGAGAAACTGGGGCGCAAAATTATCCCTACCAGTTTCGGAGAGAGCAATGAAATCTAATCTATGCTCAAGAGACGCCTCAACAAGAAACCTTCTTTTAGCCAAGTCCTTCAGACCTCTGCTATTCCAAAAGATGCCTTTCATATGTCATCATGAAATTTTTTGGCAGTCCGAATCCTAGCACTCCTACGAACCGCGGAAGCGGGATAAACCTTCCGCTTCCTACGAACCGCGGAAGCGGGATAAACCTTCCGCTTCCACTTACGTTTGGGTTTACTATGGTCCTCCATACGGTCCTCATAACCGGGCTCAGTTGGTCTAGCTACTGCATCCTCTAGAATTACATCCTCTTCCTCGGATTCAGGAGCGGATGGTGCAAGATCCGCACAGAAATTATCGAGTACTCTGACCCCCAATGCATCAATCTCTGCATCATTCATGGGTTTTACCGCTGCTAGGTTTTGAATTGTTTCTAAAGTGTGTTCCGCTTCCAAATCTAGGGGGTCATTAACCGAGTTGGAAATTTCACTATTAGTACTCCCTAGAGAAACTCCTAATTGGTTGGCATTATTTATAATCTCCTCATTAGAAAAATGCAATATAGAATTAGACACGTTGACAGACATACCAGTAGTGGCCTTAATGTCACGAAGCTTGGCCACCCTCATAGGGCACCTCTGCTGCATGTCATCAACCTCCGGGTGGTCCTGGAGACGAGAACTCATCCATCGCCCCGCAGAGACCGGGTCGGGGATCCCACCAAAGGCAATGACCTCCTCCCGAGTAATAACTCGCGCTGAAGAATCAGCCAAAGTTACCGGAGGAGGCGGCGGTGGGCT